GGGGGTGGGGGGAGAGTGTAGGTGACGGGTTTATAGGGTATACTAACACCTCTGCTTTCAGGAAAGGCCCCACTATAACTTCTACCACCCTAGACACATTAAATTGTCCTTTACTTTATATTGGAGTCCAGATGCGGTGCTGTGAGGTAAAGCACTGAACTGCAAGGTTGAACTGAACCACAAGGTCAGTGGTTCAAACTCCCCAGCTGCTCCTTGGAAAGTCCATACCGGGTCGCTATGGGTCGGAATCCATTCGACAGTATTCTACATACTTTTATGTTGTTCACAGGCAGAAATACTTTGAAAAAAACTTCATAAAAACAGTACGCTGCTCTTCTCTTGCGTCATATTGCTCCAATTTTGCAGTACAATGGCCTGAGATTTTCTTGACTATCTTCAGTTTTTCTTCAGGAAACATCAGTACTACCATGCTTGACTTGTGATTTGTGTCCTTAATTCTCAATTTGCCATAGTCTCCATGGAACTGAAATATTTCCAAAGTACAGATCTGGCATTTGACTCTTACAATGAAATCATCAGCTCTTCTGAAAACAACCGCAACAGTGCAAAATGCAAACTGAGTTAAGTACCATGGTGTCGGTTCTAACTCATAGTGACCCTGCACAGGGTTTCCGAGGCTGTAAATTTTTACGGGAGCAGAACACACCTCATCTTTCTCCCGCGGAACCGCTGGTAGTTTCGAGCTGCCGACCTTGAGGTTAGCAGCCCGATTCATAACCACTATGCTACCAGAGCTGCACTATTCCCTAGAAAAAACTCAGCAAATGGCTGAGACCATAGAACCTAGACTTATATAAAGACGATCTCATGCAAGCCCTCCAGAAAGCTGCAGAGGATTCTGTGCTAGCTCTACTGCTTTTTTAAATAAAAATCTGCTTTCAATTATGAAAAATGTTCTAAAAAGAATTCCCCCTAACAGGACAAAGCCATTTGTATGATCTCTCCAAAGAGCTCATATTTCTATGGATTATATCACTTCCCAATTGTTCCTACAAGGTCTGAAATTTAAGAAAGACAGGTCGGTTTGGCAAAAAATCTCATCTATAGTTTAAATATAATCACTGATCCTCCAAATGTTTTTCTATCGTTGTCTTACATCACAGAAGGCTCAAAGCAAGAACGTTGCAAAGTCATCAAGAGTGGGAAATGGCATGAAAACTCACTGCAAACTTTTTTTTTTGTTAGATTAAATTGCATAGAACCATTACAACCAAGAAGTGATCAATAAAAACCAGACTGGAGATGACATATAAGCGTAGTGGTTACGAATCAGGCTGTTGAATCGCAAGGTCAGCAGTTCGAAACCACCAGCTGTTCCGCAGGAGAAAGACTAGGTTTTCTGCTCCTGGGAAGATTTACAGCCTCGGAAACCCTGTACACGGTCACTATGAGTCGGAACCGACTGCACGGCACATAACAACAACAATAGAAAACCACCTGGCACTCAAGCAAACATGGACATTGTGCATCTGGGAACATCATCATCTCAGCTGCTAAGTGGAGAAATAATAGGTTCAGTGGATACAATCAATCAACAGAAATGGTCCATCAAAATTGGTGGGCATTTTATCGTCTTAAACATAAAGCTTTCATTAAAGGAAGAGGATAAAGCATGAAAACAGGTGAAGATAAAACTTGAATAAAAGATTACGAAGGCAGTTAACGTGATTTAAAAACATCAACGGTCTTAAAGAGAAGAAAGAAGCCTCACCTTTGAGTCTGTGCTCTTGAAGGGGTTCCAGAAATCTCCGTTCAAAAGGAAGGCAGTGGCAACTTCGTAAGTTTTCATCTGCTCCCTCCTTTGGGTCGACTGTATGGAAGGCGATAATTTGCTTCCCACGCTCAGCCCTGAATCAAAAAGAAAACAGCCCAATTTTTTACTCTAGTGGGGAAGAGCACAGTACCCAAAGCTTATTATAGACGCTCCATGAAACTATTTGGAAGCAGCATTAAGCCTAGGGAAGCACTCTAATATCTTAAATCACAAGAACTGTTAAAATTGATGAATTCTCTTGTCAATTTAGTCATAAAATTTTGTAACTTAAAGGGGGGGAAAAAGTTCTTTCTTTCCCTTAAAGACTTACAGCCTGTATTGAGTTACTCTCATATTCAAGGAGATAATTCAGTTCTTCAACAAGCAACAGAAACACCCAAGCACCAAGTTCTTAAAATGATAAATTGATGCTTTACTTCAGATCAGTTCTCTATTCAGTGTCTTAACACTAACTACTTTAGTTACTTAAGTCTCTTTGAATCCATTAAATCCAATGGCAACGCTCCTCTCTGTCCTTACGGAGTCTAATTTTATATGCTTTAGTAAGTGATTCTATAGGCAAAATTAATTTGCCAGCTTAGACGGACTAGACTAGTTTATACATTTAAAAGGGAAAAAAAAAAATCAAGTCATTCAATAAACTATTATATGATCTTATTTCCTAGGGTCTTGTCTGTTAAACCAGTTAATAAACCAACACAGGTTCAATTTCGCCCGTTTCCATCAGCAACTTTAATGGAAACTAGACCATTTTTCTCTTCTGGAAAGCTGGGTCAGTTTCTTCACAAATAGAATCAGTTCCCTGGGCTTTCTCTGTCATGAGGTCACACACACATCTGCTGTCCTGGGAGGCCACACTACACCCTCCAGGTAAAGGTCAGTACCCACCATTCCCTTACATGGGAGTCTCATTTCTCCAACCAGGATTCATAATGTTCAGACTTGAGTCATCATAGTATGGTTTTAAGTTTCTAGAAAGTTCACCTTTATAGGGCACAAAAGGCACTGAAATTTTAATTCTAGACATTTTATAGTTCCCCAAATACCTTTAAATCTATACCATTGTATCATTCTCGATGTGGAAGCCTGCAGTTACACTCATGTTACAAAAGGACAACAACTCTCGTATTTACAGGCTAACACAACCCTCCTAAAAGAGTCTTGATATGGTCACAAAGCATTTCAAACTCCCAGTGGTTTAGGACCCAGGGAACGGGGAGCCAAGGTGAGCTGAAAGCTGGGGCCACCGCTGTTGGTAGACAGATGAGCTGGGCCACTCAGCCCATGGGGAGGAATGGGGAAAGTAGAGTAGGCACAGACTGAGGAAGGAGACAGACTGTTCAGTGCTCAGGACTGAGGCTGAGTCTTCCAGGATGAACCTGTATTTGAGAAGAGGGGTCTGGAGTGTGCACAGAGGGGGCTAAATGGGGTGAGTAGAAGGCTGGCTGGAGGAGACTAGAATGGGCTATGTTAGGGGGAACTGGTAACCCTTGGCAGAGGCAGAGCTGGTAACCCTTGGCAACATGGAGCTCTTGACTGAAGGGCTGTCCTAAGTCCCTGCCCTGGTGTGTTCAGGCAGCATGACTCTGGCCTACAGGACAATCAACACCATCCAACCTTGGATTAGCTTAAATCCTTTGTCCAATCATTTGCCCAATTGTTAATTCACTTATTGATTCATTCACACACTCAACAAGTCTTGTATTTATGAACTGTCCACCTTCTGACAGGCATGGTATTAGGTGCTCTAGACCTGCTTCAGCCAGGCCCCCCAGTAGCTACAGATGTCGCTGCCTAGATCCAGGTCCTCTCTTGTCCACACTGCTGGAACCCGGGCCTCTGAAATATAACTTCAGCCTAGAAGACTCTGCTAGTTAGCATATAACAGAGGGTCGACGGCAAAGCCACGTGTGTGACTTATGATCTCACCCTGGGAGACAAACTAGACAGATAACAACCCTCCCAGAAAGCTATGTGCTCTGTGACACCAGAGGACCATGGGGACGCTCTGTACTGTCTTTGGAACTCCCCAGCAAATCCAAGATGGCTTTCCACTCAGGGCAGAAGTGGGATAACGTGATGCTATGTGGAGAAGACAGTAATCAATGTCATGAAAACAAAATGTGTGTGGACTGGTAAATGGACATCTGATGTGTTCTGTAAACCTTTACTCACAAAAAGCTAAAAAATAAAAAGGGTTTCCAAATAAAGTTCATCGAAACAACAGGGTGGTATGTTTGCTCTCGATGGGGTTTATATTGGCAGCTAGGCTCTGGGCAGTCTGGTGGAGGTCAGAATCACTTCTAGAGGGTGTCTTCTTTGCTTGTGACTCAAAGAGCTGCGTATGGAGCTTGTGCAAATGGAACAAGCACTCCCTTTCCATTAAAACTGGATGGAATGCAGTGAGGACAGGAAGGGCCCTCATGTGGAACACGAAGAGTCCAGCACAGCATTTGGTGTGGGGAACAGTTCCAGCTTTGATAAGCTCTGCCTAGATGAGCTCTTACTTGGGATCTATGGTGGAACTTGGAACATACAGAAACCAAGGTAAGGCTAATGCTGCTTCAATGTTCCTGCAGAGGCAAGCCACTCAATGCTTAAATTAACTGCTCTTACAAGCGAGCCGGCAAGCTACTAGAATAAGATTAAGAAGGCTTTGAATTACCAGCAATGGCAGAAACAAGAACTGGAGACCCACCTCAACTTTGCCCTCCACCACTGAAAACCATGCCAGGCTACAAGCATTACCATGGGCATCGCATTTCAGCTTTTGAGAACTAGGGAAAAACTGTTCAGAGAAGGACTGCAAAACCTATTTACATTTTTTCTAACCAAGGAACCAGCTTCATTATGTAAGATGCTTCTGGCAGTTCTGTGAACTGTCTCCAGCAGAAGTGAATTGTGGCATGAAGTACTTCATCACAAATCCAATTGTTCAAAGAAGCCTCTGAAATCCAGTGCAAAAAGTTCTAAAAAAAAAAAATCAGGACTTCAAACAAGTTCAACCCCCTGCTGGAAATTTGCATTTTCACCCCTAATACACTGTTAAAATGCTCTACATTTTAACAAGATCTTAAAACGCAAAAATCACCTAGGGACCTGTAGGGATCTCCTGAGGATCTTGTTAGGAAATGTAGATTCGGATTCAGTGTGTCTGGTGTGGAATGAAAATTCTCAGCAGAGTGTTGAACTGAACGAACCAGTTTGAAGCTTTGCTAAAAATGTTGGTATACTGGAATCTTGTACCACACCTCACCAGCCAGCCAAGAATGGGGTGGACAGAATGGTGACCAAGTCTATTTCAACCATGACTCCAAAGGTCTGGAAGATGTGCATCCAGATCTCTGGTAACTTGGAGAGAAAGTCTTTGTGTTCAAGCTGTGTGTTGAAAGAGGAAGTTAAAATGGCACCATGAAATCCAGGTCTCCTGGCTGACCCAGGAGGATGGCGGCTCGGCCAAGAAGAGGTTAGGTAAGACAGCAACTGTGCCAGGAAGAAGACTTGGTGATGTCCTCCCGGGATGCGGCCCTGGAGCCCTTAGATGGGGGAATTTCTTCTCTGCCCTATAGGGTTCCTAGGAGTTCAAATCAACTCAGTGAACACACAGACTGGGGAGTCAGGGTAGAACCCTCACGTCCCATGCAGGTGAGAAGGGTTCGATTCCGACCCAGCCTATGTTCTCATGCACAGCCCCCAATCACCCATCAGTGGAGGTTTGTGGGGTTTTGGAAGAAGTGCAGCCAGAGTGCTCCTTAGAGGCCAAGATGGCCAAACTTCGTCTCTCGTACTTTGGACATATTGTCAGGAGGGAACAGTCACTGGAGACGGATATCATGTTTGGTAAGATGGAGGGTCAGAGAAAAAGAGGAAGACCCCCAACGAGATGGATTGGCTAGGTGGCAGCATCGATGGACTCAAGTGTGGCAACAGTAGTGAGGTTGGCCCAGGATCGGACATTGTTTTGTTCTGCTGTGCATAAGGTCGCTACGAGTTGGTGCCGACTCGATGGTACCTAACAACAACAACAAAATGGTGTTCAACAAGTTTCAGTGGAGCTTCCAAACTAAGATGGCCTAGAAGACAAGCCTGACCATCTACTGCCAAAAATCAGCCAATGGACCCCCGCAAGGACCACAATGGGCTGATCCCCCACTGATCATGAGGACGGTTCAGTTCTGGAGTCACAATGAGCAGGGGTTGCCATGATTCAGGGCCAGCTCACTACAACTCAACAACAAAGGATGTAAGAGCAGGCTGAGGCTTCATAAACCAAGTGTCCAGAACAGCTAGAACTCTAGGACCCGGGTGGCAGAGAAGACCACAGCCATCCAGCCTTCAGGAGGCAAAACCTCCTAACACCAGACATTTCTCTTTTCACCTACATACATATTCCCGCAACTCCATCCAAGAGCAACTCTCTTGTTTTGGCCGATTTTCACCCCCTCTAAGAGGCTTTAATTTCTAAATATTCCAAGGAGAATTTAGGGGCCAAGTGTGCCAGTATTTAGAGACGGTTGTGCAACCCTTTTAAGCCATTGAGTAACTGCACTATTTGCTGAGTACAGGATTTATGATCTCTGCACATGGGTAGTGAAGCCATCTTTTAGTGACGCTTTTTAATTGTTCATATCACCCCCACCGCCCACCCCCCAGCAGTATTTGTAGTCAGAAAACCATTTCTTAGGAGTTTTACTTATGTATTTATACACTGGTATTTTTTTTAGATGATGCAAATAAAAATTTTATTTGTGCTGCATGGATAGAAAGAATAAATTATACACAGCTGTGAGATATCAGAGTGTATTTTATGGAGTGATTCTGTTGACAAACCATAAAAATACGTTTTGAATGAAGTGTATATTCAAGGCCCAGATACTCAGGGGGATAAAAAGTGACCTTATAAAACCTATCGTTTGCATACATTTTGTTTTCATAATATTGGGGCATCTACAAAACACACATTTACCAAAATAAAAATGTTGGTAATTCATAGTGGAAGAACTCCCAGCTGGTTTGCCTTTGGAGCATCTACCATTCTGTCCACCTGACAACGTGGCCATTTTGCTTCAGCCTCAGAAGAGAGAGAAGTACACTGGGTAATTTGTGTTCAAACTCGTGTCTTTTGTAATGACCAGCTCCCCCTTCCCATGAGGTGTGTGTTTGCCGCCTATTTGCTTTGGGCTCCTGGTCTCTGTCATCTACAGACCTAAGGTTGGTTAAGTGGTTAAGTTCAATCCCACAGGTGGGAAATCTTTGCTGTAATGGTCAGAAAACTCAGCAGAGAAGATACCTCCCCCAAAGTGACCCCAGATTCCATGCCACCAACCAGGCCACCCAGAGCCTGGATGTCTGTGTAAGTCAAGCTCCACCCCAGCCCTCCCTTGGCTGCTTTCCTAAATATGTCCCACCCGACGCCCACCTCCAAGCTTCCCATCCCCAGAGGTGGAGACCATCAGGGTAGTTCTGAGATATGTCAACAATGAACATTTTGGAGCCACAAGCCCTGGATCTCGTCCCAACTCCTCCTTGACTCACCGCCCTGGGCCAAAGACTGCATCTGAGGTTTTTACCATCTCTGAAATGGGTGCCACTGGCCAGGGGGTCAGGGAAACTCAAATTAAGTCAATGCAATAAGAGGGCCTTTATGACGTTTCAAGCATGAAACCTGCCCAGAATCCAAATCTATACACTTTTAGGTTGTATTTGTCAAGATGCAGCCCTGAAGCAGGGAAGAGGCCAGAGTATTCTGGGTCAGAAGATACCTCCTGCATCCAACACCAGGGTTAAGCCAAAAAAATATTGCCACAAAAGCATGAAACTTATTAAACAAAAATACCAAAATGTCCAATTCTGTTTCTGAACATATCCTCCATGTATGGGTACATATTGTTGAAGGCAGTGTTTTTGAAGGA